TATGAGAGACTAATTTTCAGTGGCCAAAAATCGTCTGCCATTTTCAATTCCAATGTCCAACCGGATCGTGTTCATCTGCTTTAGCAAATCAGTGTGGATAAAGAAACCGATTGGGAAAAGTGTTCATCTACCGCACACAGTTGAGTAGTCAAACGTGAAATGCTCGTTGTTGTTGCGCCAAACAGACGAATCAAATTGGCACGAGAACACAACAGCATGATCCTTATTCTTACACACCCACCGTCAAGTGAATCATGTCGAACAAATGAACAAGACCAAACTGCAACATGATCAATAACAAAACTCACCTCCTTCCTTGTTCTCTGGTTCTACAATCAAGAAGGATGGGAAACGAACAATGTACACTGATTGATGTATCGAATCAAATGAGAACAAGCATACTTGAATAATACTATTCGTATTTGAGTAGAGTGAGCTTAGATGGTAGAATGAGAGCAATTCGATTCACTTGATCTTCCCCCCACACTTTCTCTCTCTTTCTCTCTCTCTGTCTCTCTCTATATCTCTTTCTTTCTTTTCTCTAATGGCACAGTTGGATTTTGAAATGATTCGTGCACGAATGCGACCAGTTAGAGAAATTGAACAATTCAGTTTGCTTTGTATACTTGTCGTTAGATCTATCTAATGGGAATATATGAGAGACCAATTTTCAGTGGCCAAAATTCGTCTGCCATTTACAATTCCAATGTCCAACCGGAACGTGTTCATCTGCTTTAGCAAATCAGTGTGGATAGAGAAACCGATTGGGAAAAGTGTTCATCTACTGCACACAGTTGAGTAGTCAAATGTGAAATGCTCGTTGTTGTTGCGCCAAACAGACGAATCAAATTGGCACGAGAACACAACAGCATGATCCTTATTCTTACACACCCACCGTCAAGTGAATCATGTGGAACAAATGAACAAGACCAAACTGCAACATGATCAATAACAAAACTCACCTCCTTCCTTGTTCTCTGGTTCTACAATCAGGAAGGATGGGAAACGAACAATGTACACTGATTGATGTATCGAATCAAATGAGAACAAGCAAACTTGAATAATACTATTCGTATTTGAGTAGAGTGAGCTTAGATGGTAGAATGAGAGCAATTTGGTTCTCTTTCTCTTACTCTCACTCTTTCTCTCTCTCTCTTTCTCGCTGTCTCTCTCTCTATCTCTCTCTCTCTGACTGTCTGTCTCTCTCTTTGTCTTCTCTAATCTTACAGTTGGATTTTGAAATGATTCGTGCACGAATGCGACCAGTTAGAGAAATTGAACAATTCAGTTTGCTTTGTATACTTGTCGTTAGATCTATCTAATGGGAATATATGAGAGACTAATTTTCAGTGGCCAAAATTCGTCTGCCATTTTCAATTCCAATGTCCAACCGGATCGTGTTCATCTGCTTTAGCAAATCAGTGTGGATAAAGAAACCGATTGGGAAAAGTGTTCATCTACTGCACACAGTTGAGTAGTCAAATGTGAAATGCTCGTTGTTGTTGCGCCAAACAGACGAATCAAATTGGCACGAGAACACAACAGCATGATCCTTATTCTTACACACCCACCGTCAAGTGAATCATGTGGAACAAATGAACAAGACCAAACTGCAACATGATCAATAACAAAACTCACCTCCTTCCTTGTTCTCTGGTTCTACAATCAAGAGGGATGGGAAACGAACAATGTACACTGAATGATGTATCGAATCAAATGAGAACAAGCATACGTGAATAATACTATTCGTATTTGAGTAGAGTGAGCTTAGATGGTAGAATGAGAGCAATTCGGTTCTCTTTCTCTCCCTCTCTCTCTTTCTCTCTCTCTCTCTCTCTCTTCTCTAATGGCACAGTTGAATTTTGAAATGATTCGTGCACGAATGCGACCAGTTAGAGAAATTGAACAATTCAGTTTGCTTTGTATACTTGTCGTTAGATCTATCTAATGGGAATATATGAGAGACTAATTTTCAGTGGCCAAAATTCGTCTGCCATTTTCAATTCCAATGTCCAACCGGATCGTGTTCATCTGCTTTAGCAAATCAGTGTGGATAAAGAAACCGATTGGGAAAAGTGTTCATCTACTGCACACAGTTGAGTAGTCAAATGTGAAATGCTCGTTGTTGTTGCGCCAAACAGACGAATCGAATTGGCACGAGAACACAACAGCATGATCCTTATTCTTACACACCCACCGTCAAGTGAATCATGTGGAACAAATGAACAAGACCAAACTGCAACATGATCAATAACAAAACTCACCTCCTTCCTTGTTCTCTGGTTCTACAATCAAGAAGGATGGGAAACGAACAATGTACACTGATTGATGTATCGAATCAAATGAGAACAAGCATACTTGAATAATACTATTCGTATTTGAGTAGAGTGAGCTTAGATGGTACAATGAGAGCAATTCGGTTCTCTTTCTCTCCCTCTCTCTCTTTCTCTCTCTGTCTCTCGCTGTGACTCTCTCTCTGACTCTCTCTCTCTCTCTCTCTTCTCTAATGGCACAGTTGAATTTTGAAATGATTCGTGCACGAATGCGACCAGTTAGAGAAATTGAACAATTCAGTGTGCTTTGTATACTTGTCGTTAGATCTATCTAATGGGAATATATGAGAGACTAATTTTCAGTGGCCAAAATTCGTCTGCCATTTTCAATTCCAATGTCCAACCGGATCGTGTTCATCTGCTTTAGCAAATCAGTGTGGATAAAGAAACCGATTGGGAAAAGTGTTCATCTACTGCACACAGTTGAGTAGTCAAATGTGAAATGCTCGTTGTTGTTGCGCCAAACAGACGAATCAAATTGGCACGAGAACACAACAGCATGATCCTTATTCTTACACACCCACCGTCAAGTGAATCATGTCGAACAAATGAACAAGACCAAACTGCAACATGATCAATAACAAAACTCACCTCCTTCCTTGTTCTCTGGTTCTACAATCAAGAAGGATGGGAAACGAACAATGAACACTGATTGATGTATCGAATCAAATGAGAACAAGCATACTTGAATAATACTATTCGTATTTGAGTAGAGTGAGCTTAGATGGTAGAATGAGAGCAATTCGGTTCTCTTTCTATTCCTCTCTGTCTTTCTCTCTCTGACTCTCTCTCTCTCTCTCTTCTCTAATGGCACAGTTGGATTTTGAAATGATTCGTGCACGAATGCGACCAGTTAGAGAAATTGAACAATTCAGTTTGCTTTGTATACTTGTCGTTAGATCTATCTAATGGGAATATATGAGAGACTAATTTTCAGTGGCCAAAATTCGTCTGCCATTTTCAATTCCAATGTCCAACCGGATCGTGTTCATCTGCTTTAGCAAATCAGTGTGGTTAAAGAAACCGATTGGGAAAAGTGTTCATCTACTGCACACAGTTGAGTAGTCAAATGTGAAATGCTCGTTGTTGTTGCGCCAAACAGACGAATCGAATTGGCACGAGAACACAGCAGCATCTTCCTTTTTCCTATTCACTTCCCTTTTTATTGTTCATCTTCATTTTCGGTTCTTTGGTCGATTACATTTTATTCGATATTTGTGCATTTTCTTGTTCCTAATTTCTGTTCATTTATATTTATGTATATATATATATATATGTATATTTGTAGCTGTCTTTTATTCTTATTTTACCTTTAGATTTGTTTCTTTTCCAGGGAATTTTGTTTTCTTTTGTTCTTTTTTTCTTGACCTTTATCTTTTCTCCCTTTTCTCAATATCTTCTCCACTCCCTTTCTCATTTTTCTAATATTTTCTGCGCAATTTTTTTCGATGATTTTTTTGTCATCCCCATTTTCGAATTATTTTTGTTAAGTTTTTTACCCCCACTTTATTTTTTATTGCTTCTTTTATTGGATTTCCTCATGAAATATTTACCATAATTTCATTTTTCTTTATATTTGATCTTAAACTGCTTTTAACGATGACGAGCAAATATACTATAAACTAATTTTCAATTCGCATCAGTGTGTGCGCTGGCCTCAATTCCATTTGTCTGCGTCTCAATGCGTGCTAACATAGTTTTCATGATAAAAATGAAAACTTCACTTACTCTGGCTGCTATTCCTACCTCAATGAAAGGACCGAATTAATGAGTTTGTGTCGTCCATCCGAATTCTGTCCAGTAGCTTCTGTTGGATAGTAGCTCAAATGAACTAGCAAATCAATAAAAGCCCCCACTTGTTCATACTTCGCCCGAAGAAATCCTAACATTTCGAATAAATATGACGATTCTGTGTGCAATACCCTCAAAATTATAGTCGAGAATCCACTTCCTTGGCATAGGGTGAGAATATTTTCAAGCACACTTACTTGATTTTACTTAAGGTTGCGGGATTTTTAAACGTCACTTGTGTCACGAGATACGAAATGTGCATAGCATGCTCAACAAAGGAGGGCAAGTGCCGATTTCATCACAGAATTCGAATAACAAATCCTGGCATTTCAAAGATGAATGGTCTTGTCATATGTTTGGTACATGATGAGCCAAGGTGGGCTCAGAAAAAATCAAATGAACTAGGAATTTCTTCCGAAAAATTATTTCGCCGAATGCTGGAATCCCGTTATCGATTTGGATTGGAGACATACGTTTAGTTTTGTTGTTAGACTTCAATTAGAAGCACATCGGTAAGTGGGAAAATCTTCGTCGTCAGACCTAAAAATATCGTCGAATTCAGTAGAAAAAGGTCACCTGAGTAAGTAATCGGTTTTCGAGAATATGCCTCATGGTGTTTCAGGAGAAATTTGTAAATATATTCTCATCGTATGATTTGTCTGTACACTTTTCACTGTGGAACTTCTGAAATTATGATTTCATTTTCTATTTGATAACAGAGCAGGCTATCTGCTGCGGAGATTGAAGAATGAAGGCAGACCAAATGTTGATACTGTGTATGAATGTTATGTTCATAACATTTCGGCTAATTCATTGCGAGTGAATCTCGTTTAGTTTTCCATCGGAAACTTGCGTTCAGTCATAGTTGAGGTCGACTGGTAGCAGTAAAATTAGGGCCCCATCTGCAATTTGTGCATGTTTATTGGGCGCATACAAAAAGATCACTGGCTGCTGTCAAAATACGACATAAAACTTTGACGTTCTGTATTTTTGCTGCCATCAATGCGAACAAAACGTGCTTATCAAACAACCATATGCATCGTTTTTGACAGTACCTGTGCACATGTAAATAAAAACGATGGAAACTGTTTAAACTGGCCAGTTTTACAAACTGTGTCCAAGCCTCTTTCACCAATACTCCTCCTTAACGTTTTGTGAGTTTGTACGATCTGCTGGATTCCGCCTGCATCATGTCACCTTAAATCTGTGGTTTGATTTACAGTAATACCATTGATAGTCCAGTCTCAAAAGCTTTTTCAGTCAAAAGTATCTAAGTACCCCGGAGTGTTTTTTTTCTTAAAAAACTGACAAACAAGATATGGAATTTCGGGTAACTAAAATCAAATAATTCCATTATATTGTGAGAAGGTGTATTTTTGTTGTTCTGGGCCTCTTTGTAAACATTTGAGGGTGATTATTTTTCAGCTTTATGCTTCCAAAAGAGTTGCGATTGATGGCGCATCATTTACCTGCCTATTAAGGAAAGTGAACAGTCTTTTGGCTTTGATATTAATTAGCCTTTTTCTCTTTTCCTAATCTCATATTATTGCGCATAATGGGAAGATATCAGGAGAAATCGTCTTACCGAAAACAATGAAACTTGATAGCGTGATTGTTATGCAACATTCATTTGACCAAATGCAAAACCATCACACTACAAAAATCAATAAACAATTTGTGTATGATAACTATATGAGCAAATGGGCTTTTCTAGAAATACTTTCATGTTCGTTACTGTGAGTCGTCAGGCATGCATAACCAATTTCCGTTTGACTCACCTGCCTGCTGCGAGTGCAGCACGCACAGTATCACAATCAAGAATATGATGGGTTTCATCTTGTTTGTCTTGTACGACATATTCTCACGCTTTTATAGTGCACGCAATTCCACCACTTGTAGTTCTATTGGTTGATAATAATTGTCATATCATTCCCATATTTTGCTGCTAATCGTTCTCCGTCTTCGTTGATTGGTCCACCGGAAGACCTAAATCCTAATGAAAGATATCTACCTTTCACGTTTGTGGAAAATCAGTGCAAACATCCAGTTTCTGCTGTTCCAGAACTCACACTCACATCAGGGAATAATAGATTCGATGCTGGTCCAGCAAAATAGATCATTTCACTACATGCAGAGGTTCTATTCTGTTCTATTCTAGATAACTTACACACTCGTAAATGGTTGAACTGCTTGTGATAAAATAGGTGAAAAATTGGCCCTCAAATGCTGCCTTTTGGATGCACTTTAATGAAGCATACGTTTAAATTGATGCTATCTCGTATGAATTATTTTGACCACTGATCTCTTAACTCTAAAGAGTTTTCATCAAAAGCAAATCTGAGATTGATTATAGACGCTCTTAGTGCACTACGAACAATTAAAGTACTATTGGGCAGTTAGAATTTCTCCTCGTATTCATATTTAAGGATTTTATGATAGAACTAACAAATCCTGGGATCTGCCTCTCTGTTTGAGTTTCTTTTCAACTACTGAATAGTTAGAATAATGTTAAATATTTTGAAATACAACTTTTCCAAAAATCACGTTTTGATACAAGTAAGTGAGTGGTAAAAATACTTTTATTAAATCTGATGAACTCAGTATTTCTATTTTGTTATCGTTAAGCGGTACGCCTATTTCATGGATGAAAAACAATGAAGCAGATATTTTGCTCACAAAAACGTATGTCACTCCAATTGATTGGCTTGTTGGCTACTCTGGTAAACAACAAGCGATTTGGGGATAAGTTAGCTTCAGAATAATTGGTGTATCACACGCTCATCTCAGATACATACTGTTCAAAACCACTTCATGACAGATGAAAATTCACTACAGTCTGATGTTAGTTTATAATACTCTCCCGAACGGTGATTCTGATGAGAGGTAGAACAACTCACAAGTTTAACTTCCTAACCAGTAAACGAAGTTCAGAAAGCTGTTCAAAAACTATATGAAGAAGTCCGTATGTGTAGAATAAGAATTATGATTTAATATCCATTCCGAATGTCAAAAGTTGCCGAACTATTTGGCAACCTCAAACCAAACAGTTAGTTCCAGTCAAAACTAATAAGAATCAACATAACTTTCAGTTTGATACCAATAGGTTTACCCCGCCTAAAAGCCATTCGGCCTAAATCTGTTCAAATGAAGATAATATTGAAAGTCAACAAACAGAAATGAAACGCCGTTTATATGCATGTGGTTCTTATAAACCAACATCCACTGCGATATTTTTTCTCTATTCGATTATAAGCTTTCATGTGTGATGTATCACCTACATCATAGTGCAATTTATTCGCCACTGCAATTTCTGGGTTCTCTAATAATTACTGCTTAATTGAACAGTGGATGCATGCACGGGAGATTAATTTCCAATTTCCAGACAGGGGCTGAGATTTTAAATAAACTATCACGGTGAATAAATCATGTTGATAAATGTTTAGTTCTCACAAAATCTTACGGATTTCAATAAAATTTGAAACGACTTCCTTTCTTACTTCTACTACAGTCTAAGTTCCCATGATGGGATTTCACTGAAAAAATTACTGATTTGCACAACATATTACCAAAGGCTCTCACCCACTAAGATGTTTCACACACAATTGGCTATCAAGATAAACAACCTGAACTGATTACTTTCTGCGATCATCGTTTGATCCCCGTTTGTGCTTTTACAAAGGGACATATTGTCGAAGGTTGTAGCGTGAGATTTCACAATGCAAACAACAACCACCCTCACTGCGGGGATGTCTGAAATGGTAAGCTAAGTAATGGAAGAAGCCATCAAGCTGATCACCTTGCGAATTTCCCCATAGCTAAAATGAGCCAATAAATTCTAGAGCACGCGAATTTGCGTATTTCTTCAATTAAGTTATTGCTGACACATTATCATTTCTGAATTTTACTAAAGAGTAAAGCACACCGGATATAGTCACATTGTCTGAATGCCCGAAACATATGTCTCCTACTTTTTTAGTTTACCTAATGACCAACGGTGAAATGTGATATTGTAATTTACTACGAAGACAAGAATGCAGTTATTGATAATGCTGACACCATTCTTTGCGTTACCAGTCTCCTACTGCTTTGCTGCTCGTTAGATAGAAAGTAAAGTCAGGTAGGCAACGGAACGGAAGTTGGCTTATCGTCGAAGTGCTCATGGCCCAACTATAGAATTCACAATAAAACATTGTCCGAGCTCAGACTCACGTGAAGGAGTCCAGTGTTCAGCGGAACATTCAGAATCTTTTCCTGCCCACCACTACATTATAAATGAGAATAAAGTTTCTAATAGTAAACATATCCAATCAGAAATGGGCGAGGTAGAAGCCATTCAAAACTTTCTCGACCCTAAATATGTCACGTATTCGAAGATTATTGGATGAAATCAATTGTTTTTGACGGTTTCATTTTATAATACTCAGATATTTTAGGCTATTACTGAAAAATGTAAAATGTTACAATGAGGTCTTCTATCAGCGAGTATGTTACCTGAAGTTGTTCAGCAAGCCTTGGTGAAATCATCCACTACTCCGCATTCACTCAAATACACTAAATGTTATTTGCAGAACGTCTTTGTTATTTTACTATTACATTCATCTGAAAGCAAAAGACAAGCGACAGTATGACTAGTATTAGTTGATTTAAATAACAGAGTAATATAGTATCCACTGCACTCCTCCTGTGTTTTTGTTGCAAGTTGATCAACTCCAAATTTTCCATGCAGTTAGAAGCAGCTCGACTTGGTGACCAGCATTCAGCTACTGTTGCATGTGTCCTTCTTCAAAACGCAAAAGAATACCACATCCACATGTCGACTGCCGGATTGCGTCGCGTGAATTCGACAAGTTCGTACTTGGTATCCAGTTGTCGAGTACACAATTCAAACACTGTTCTTCCTACTTACAAATATCCTCCTGGTTTTCATTATTGTACATATATCGTGCTTCACTCACATGCATTATTTTATTGCGCGTTTTGGCTAATAGCTTTTGAAACTGGAACAAGATTGGAAGATCTTTCGCCTCAATCGATATTTCTATTTGGCATTCTCGCCCCTACTACCAAGAAGAGTTGAGGTGAATCGTATAAACTTCGATGGCTGTGTAGAATTTATTCAGCGGTAATGTTCAGATAAACGTGTGCAGCTGAAAAGGATTTCCCGTGAAAACACTGATTCAAAATCGTCTTCGACCGAAAAACGGACAAATATGAAGCTTTTTACCAGTCTGTCTTGATTTAAATTCGATAGAAAACTCCGTACCTGTAATTTTGATCATTTAAACTATAAAATCGCTAGCCTTACCTGTCATCATGTAATAAATTGCCGAACTGAATGACCTCGGAGAAACCACCGAATATGTGGTCGAATAAATAGTGCCTCTAATTTCTGTTCATCACTCCCCATCCGTGAAGGACCTTGCCGATTTTAGAAACCAAGTGTATAGAAATTTTGCCGTGCCTCACAAAACTGTGTACCGTAATGATAACCGACAGACGTTTTAGGAAAATAACTGCAAAATCTGTAAATATCCTCGTGGTCGAGAGGTTCGCTCTGATTTTATACCTTCGTTCATCATACTTACTGTGACAAGACCGCCAAGGAGTATGTTCAAGTTCACAAGACCCGTAGCTGCTGATGATTATAAATAATAAGAAATCACGTTTGACGATAAACGAATAATCGTATATTATTAATGTTTATCCCCCCACTACAGTTCCCTAATAAGTCGAACTTGAGCGTTTGCTTTGCAATGGTGAAGCCAGACTGAATAAAAGTAAAAACTCAAGTGATCATATCCATCACGGCACGTGTTAAGTATCTAATAACGTGGTCCCATATGGCTTTTCCTTGAAATAACATACGGATAAACAATTTCGCTATGGGGTAGTCATAAATGAGAGCAAACTTTGGTCTGTCTTCCAAATTTGTTCTCTGAATTTTTAACTAAACATAGTTATTCTTCCACGGACTCTTGTGGGCATAGAATTCTTATTGGCAAGCATGACCATTGAACTGGGTTTCTGTTGTGTACTATAGCTAAAACTGAGAGCGTTGTTGTGCTGTCATATTCACGTTTCCTTGCCGTGTAACATCGTTCCGGCTATTGCTTTGGAGTTCCTCTGTATTTTTTTATCCACGAAGGCCAAGCTGTTCTTCTTTCTAGCCTCCACCGTGAACCGAATGGCTTCGTGCACATTTTTGAACATCTGTTTCGTATATTCTCTGTCTTTGTCCTCGTTTCTAAAGCAGAAAATGCCATCCACGTACTGTCGATATAAGTTCACATCTTCAATCTCCTGTTTCAATGTCCCCCTTCCTAGTTTTGCCCTTAAATGCCTGTTATAAGTGGATCTAATCGTGACCTTAGGTTCAAACCATCACGTTGACAATAAAGCTTCCTGTTTACGAGGATTTGAACTTCAAATAACACATGTGTGAAGGAGTTCTCCCAGATACTTCCGTGGTATGTTTATTGCCGATTTGTTGATATCAGTGCGGTCATAAATCACATCGGTGGTATCTAAAAGAATCACGTTAATTGAATGCTATATTATATTCTGATAAAACATTTTATCATAATTTAATTTTTGATAGTTGATGCTTTTGACAAATTCGAATAAACCTCTAGGCCAGTCGCCGAAAGAACGAGAAAAGACAACCCATCCTGAGAGACAGACTATTACAATACTAAAGTCTATGAAGAATCGGAGATCATTAGTCCATCTCACTTCCGGAAAAATCAGGTCATGAGGTCTACCAATCCACCTTTATATGGTGTATCCAAGACTAGTAAAAGAGTCCTACCTCAAAAGCCGATTATTTCTATGATAAACTCATTTTTTCTGGGAACAGC